AGACAACAAGAAGAAAAAAGAAAAGAAACAAAAGAAAAAAATAGGGAGAGGAAAAAAAGTTTATAATCCACTTCTGTCTTCCGACCCCCATCCGGAGATCCCTTATGTGCACTTAACAAGCCGCGTGCACTTTAACGAGCAAGGGGAGTGATCTCGTTCAACGCACGAGATTCACTCCGTGTTTTTGAGTTATGAGTGGAATGAGCAGGCTCCATTACACTCGTCACTCGAGGACTACCTATATTCCAATTCAACAGTGTTCAGAATCTGGCTTTGCCCACGTATTAGACAGATGGTGGTACAGATTATTAGTAATCCAGATTCCCTCACACGGTCAGGACTAAATTCTAGCCAACTAGAACAGTCACACTACATTAAATCTTGTGGTCTGGTAAGGAATATTGTTGAAGTCAAAAAAAGAGTTGAGTTTTAGCTTTCTTTTCAAATTCAGGTTATGATAGTAGAGGAATTTCTATGCAGCCTTCAAGCATTCACTCTGGAACTAACCTCTACAAACTCCACTCCATCCCTAAGAGTGGGATAGACGCAAAATTGACATCTGCAGAAAATCTTGCTAATTACATCCTAGATTTTCTCTACAAGCTATAGCAAAAGAAACATTACAATGTTTAATGTAGCATATTAAATTTATTTAATTTTAAAAAGCAGTTCTGCCTTTAACTTGTTCTAGGTTTCAGTGCCACTTTCGTTGGATTGTCCTTTTCCTAGTCTTTTTACCCAAAAGAAAACAACAAAACAGAATCAATCAGCCTTCTCTTCTCATGTGCCATCACATTGGCTGGGTCATGTATCTCAATAAGCCAAGCTGGATTAACGTCTAAAGTATAAATGGTGTAATTTTCCCATGAGATGAATTCCTAATCCATAGTTTATTAATCACAGTTGGTCATTTCACAGAACCTACCAAGTTAAAATTAAACAAATCACACTCTGGCTTAGCATAATGTGTGAGCCCAAGTTAGAACTGGAGCCAATTTTACTTCTGGGTTAGCTGCAGTATAACCAGAATTACAAAAAATACAGCCTTTCCATCTTCACTTCACTTCACAAATTTGAAGAGCTGGGGGGACATGTTTCCTCATTTCTGGGAATTCTTCACTCAACCAGCCTTCAAACAATCCATTCACCCCACTGAATTTCAACATATTGAAACTTGCCTCTTTCCTCTTCCCTCTCTCGGGGAAAAGTTCCCTTTTCCGAAAATGCTGAGATCCAGTGATTTCCCCACTATAGCTCGCAAAAAGCCCTTATATGCAACAAAAAGCAATGTCCACTCAAAATCTTTTTTGCAGTGATTACAAAACAGACGAGAAAAGCAGGGGTGCTAGTACAATAATGTTCTTTTTTTCCCCTTTTTCCTTGGAGATAGGAAGAAATGCTTGTTGCTCCAGGATCTGTGATAGCTTAAGAAACTAGGACACCAATTGGATACTCTTTCTTGCAGCCATTCTCTGGTAACCTTCAACTTGCTTATAATACCTGTTCTGCATATTTCAAGATTGGCAAAACAAAGGCAAATGCAATACGGCTTTAAATTGCGGGGGAGGAGAAAGCAGCATGAAGTGGAAATGTTCACATTCACAGGCTCTAATAGAGATATATTTGCATGGGGAACACCCTTATTTGCACTGAAATGAACAACAAAACAAAGCAAGACTGTATCAGAGCATGAACAATCCGGGAATAATTGCTGAGAACTCGATTTAAGTGCTACACCAAATCCTAGTATGCAATGGCGACACCTGCTGGCGCAAAAGGAAAGGGACGGAAAGTACCGGCGCTTTGAAGCTAAACATATTCATAAGAACCGTATAGATTTTCCTACACTTTTTTTTAAGGGAGTAAGGATCACTAAAGTCAAGATTTTAGAATTAAAATTTAAAAAATAGAGAAAAAATTGGGAATATATAAGAAAATAGCAAAAGAAAAAATTCGTAAAGAATCAACTTCTAATCTTCTTTACAGCAGTTATAAATGCATTTATATTTTGCCCTAAGGTTTCATCATAATTTCCCTCTTTCTATAGCAGTGGTTCTCAACCTTTTTAATGCCGCGACCCCCAACTGGTCATAAGTCGAGGACTACTCAACCGGTCGTAAGTCGAGGACTACTCAACTGGTGCAGCACCGTTTGCAGAATGGGACTTTTGGCGGGCTCAGCAGGGCAGAGACAGCCTGGACAATTCCTATTGGCTTTTGAAAGCCAATAGAATTAGACTCTATTCAAGAGAGTCTATTCTATTGGCTTTCAAAAGCCAATAGAATAAAAGGGAGTAGCACAGCTAAGGAAAAGGGGGAAAAAATGGCGGACTGCGTTGTTTGGTGACCCCCGTGAAATGGTCGTTCGACCCCAAATGGGGTCCCAACCCACAGGTTGAGAACCACTGTTCTATAGTCTACTTTTCTAATCTTCAAACCCACAAATTACAAGTTCATTTTTCTTTTTCTTTTTTTCAGCATGAATGGAAACATAACATTTATGCTTTGTTTTTGTTTGTTTTTTTGTCTAGCTGAAATAGGTGTTAAAAATAATGGAGGAAAAAAACCTATGCTGCTAGGGTATACTAGCCACTTTGGAGCAACCAAGATAATATTCTTGCTCCTACTTCCCAAGGGTGTGTAAGTTCACTGGACTCATTTGGGCCATATTACTGACCAGCCAGGTGAATATTTGCAATACAAGTACTTAGTTCATTCAGTGTTATTTTGCCCTACGACTCAAAGCTGCGTGCAAGCAAAATACACAAAGAACCCACAAATATATTAATATCATGAGATTGCTTACACTGAATCTCAGCAAGTCTAAAAGAGGATATAGAATGCAGCCAAAAAACAGTTTAGTCAAACAAACAATTATCTACCAGCAAAATACACAAAAACAAGTATCTCTCCTGTCTAATAAACTGAGATCCACAATTAAGGAAACTCTAATTTCTTGTTAGCCAACATTTGAATGTATTTTTTCTATAAAGGAACAAGGAAAAGAACTTTCAGACAAAGTGTAATAGTTGATCTGTTGAGTACATTTTCTAGGTACTTTTCCCTTTTTTCTTTTCTATTGCCATAATTTTCAATTTTGAAGTAGTCTTCACTCTTTAAGATTGTTATAACCATCAGAGTAGCTGGGAATCAGGTGGGATATAAATTTAATAAACTACTATACATACAACAATGTGAAATCACAGCTGTCAATTCTTTAGCTGACAGAGGCCTTCATTTGCATTGAGTTTTCCCAAGAATTTAGGATGTTGTAATATACCAGCACAGAGTATATATGCAGTTCCAAGCAAGGTGGCCTTGTGTAATTGACAGATTTGTCAATTGTGCAGACTTTGTCATTGTGCAGATTTTCTAATTTAATAATTTTAATGAATTATTTTATGTATTGAAACTTTTCTTTGTTGATTATTTTAGCATCTAAAGTAAGCATTGGTTAAGTCATGTTGTTAAACCATAACTTGTTAAACAAAGTACTTTGCTTATATAACAATTCATGGTTTATAAAATACAGGGGTTGGATTTCTACAGCAATGTTAAGAAAAAACAAAGCAGAATAGGCCACAGTTTCATTGTCAGCATATGTACCTCCTGAATTTACAGGTTATACCTGCATAATGGAGAAAAGTGACAATAACTAAAGAGAATGAACATACTATTGGGACTAATCTGGTCTTCCAGGATACACTTATGTCTACTTGATGCTAAACACAAAAGAAATTTTGAAAATGATGAACAAGGGAACTTGAGCAGGGTTTTTTCAATCTGGAACAAGAAACTACAATACACTCTTCTCCACAACTATTAAAGTCACAAGAACTCTACAGCTTTGTCTGGCAGCTATCACACAAATCCTGATATTAGATTCACGTGCTGTTCATAAAACATCTAAATAAATCTCACTGTATGTGTGTGCATGTGTAGGCTAGAGAAAATTGCCTTGGTAATGACCATTTTTTTATTGCCCAAAAGCAAGACAATGTTTTTGTTATCAAACTATCATTAGAGAAACCCTACAATCCTTGGATCAGTGTTCCCTTGGGAGGGACTTACTGCCCATCACTCTGTTGCAGTCATATGCACCAGGGATGTCTGGGGGGGAGGACGACAAAAAAAGTGAACTTGGCAAGCACACAATTAAATATTTGGCTTTCTTATGCAGCCTGTGTGCAATGCTCAGTTAAAAAGGACTTCACTCATTACCATCTTGATTTTTTGACATCCCCCTCCCACACATGTCCTTTTACAATACGCCCTGCTCTCCTTACCAATTCCAGAGGCATTTACCTTGGGCACCTATATTAACAGTATTTCTGCTTGCACATCAACTTGAAAAAGGAAGAGAAGTGTTTCTCAGTTTGATTTCAGTGAATGCCAGAAAATGTGGAGCCCAAGTTAAAAGTATCAAATCCCGGCTTCCAGCTTGGTTTAGAGCAAACGTTATGGTACTATAGAATTCCAGTAGTAACTCACTTGGTTTTCCTTCTCTCCACACTTAAGATTTTAAAAACAAGAGTTGCCATGAATCACTTCTGCCTCCAGACTGTAACGTCTCACCTGAAAATTATTTTTCCAAGCGCAGCTAAATTGAATAAGCTGTTGTTACTTAGCAGGATGGGACAGGTATTTTTCTTTTATTAACATTATCAACAGGATCTAGGCTTCAGCATTGCCATTATTGTACTGCTAATAATTGGCTTCAAGTACAGCTCCTTCCTTAGCATGCAAGCCAATAATTGGGTTCAAACCATACTTGGGTTGCTTTATCATGGTTTCTTGATTATGTGCCATCAAATTGGTGTTGACTCAGCAATCATGAGACAGCATTTTCATCGTGACATCTCTTCCTAATTTGATCTAATGGTGTGCTTTTAAGTACATATTTCATAATTCTTGCTACATAGCAGACGGCCACAAGAGTGTAACTGCAGGGCCACCTTTCTATTGTTGGGGGGGGGGAAATTAGGTGGCAACAGAGAGATTTTTAAAATGGGAAGTAAAGAGTTGTTAAGTGTTGTGGTAAAACTTACAAAATCTGAAAAACCCAGGATGGATTTACACAATACTTTAAAACAATGTTTCTTTCAGCTTCTTTTTCTCAGGATAGTTCCCACTTTCAAAAATTATGGGGGATCCCAAAACAACTTTTGTTTGTATGGTTTTGTATTTACCGCATTAAAAATGAAAATCAACACATTCACTGCTGCTTTTCATAATTATTTGATAGGATTGATTAAACATAGGCTGGCAAAAACTTTGATTTCATGGATCCCTTAGAGGGTCTTGGGGCATCCTCACAGACCATGCTTTGAGAAATGCTGCTTTAAAGGTATGTATTTTTTATGTGTATATTCTGAACTTTGTTATTTATTGAGCAAACTTTACTAAATATGGTTTTCACCTATGAGAATATATGCAGAGAATCTAGTTCTGTTAGAAATCTTTACTCTAAACTTAATTACCATTAACAGATTATATCCCAAATCACACAGGAGTTCCCTATGCTTGCTAAGTATTAGTTGGGCCTAATTAACCATTAAAACCATAAAACTCCTGAGTAAATTTACAAACACTTCTCCCTCTGTTTCAGGATCTTCCAATGTAAAAAGGCCTTACTGATTAATTAGGGCTATTTGGCACCTTTAAATCTGATGAGATAATAGAGAACATTTGAGCAGAGAAGGCATGCTCAAAAAGAACAATCTTTAAAGTTTCCTTTCCTTCCTGCCTAGCTAAGCACAAAGTTAAAAGCAAGAGACTAGGAAACAGAGGAAGTTAAATGCTCTAAAAGAAGCAGAATATTTCATGAATGCTCTACAAGGGAGACAACTGCATGGATGTATATATGCACTCATGCACTCATTCTATCATATATAGGCATCTATGTATGTTCAATGAAGGTGCTTGACAAATCATTGCAATGTTTTTTCTTCTGTTGTTTTTTGCTTTTTTGTTGGGAAATGATGCTACCACTCAAGTTCCAAGGGTTTTACAGACTCCAAATGTTGGAGTAAATGACAAGGAACTGGTAAGTAGAGCTATTGCACTAAATATTAGAACAAAGAACAGTTTTCCTATGAATTTATTATGAACATGCCCAATATCTAAAAGACCCTTATTTCAAGTACCACTATAGGCTAAATAAATGCATTAGTTTGTTGTCACACTTGATCTAACCTGACTGAACTTTGCAGTAAGTCAGAATTAGTTGAAATATTGCCATGACTGGAATGAAGGAACAATGCTTGGATTCTACCTATATTATGCCAGCCCCTGAATGCATGCCTAGATAAGAACATGATTTAATTTTTGGGTTTTATTTGTACAGATGCAGGTTTCTCTTGAAGTATCCCAGCATGTCCAACCAGGTAAGCTTTAAAATCTCTATAAATAAAGAATAAAGTGGTCATTTTTATGTTAATTTTATGTGAATTAGCTTAAATCTGAAGTGCAACTCAGAGGTTTAAGAAAAAATATATGAATTCCAGCAAAGCTTTTTCCCTGCTTTTAAACTACTTTGATTCAGATGGCAGGATCAACTATTTCTTCTGATTTGTGCTCGAGTAGTTCTTTCCTAACTAAATCATAAGTTTGGCCTCTTTTGAAATAAGTATACTGAACTTGAAGGAAAATTACAGGAGGAGCTTCCAATTCAAATATCTAGGGAAGAAGGAGAAGTGACCATGATCTGTATTTGTCATCATTCACCTGAACCTCCAACACAGCAATGCTCTCAGAACAATTATTTCACTCAATCTTTCTAAAATCTCATGCCATTTTACAAAGTCATTCATCCTTGTCCTTCAGTCTCTGGCCCTTCTTCCTAAATGTTATGATCTTGGTTTTTTGTTAATTGGTTGGTTTTTCAAATTGTAGTAATTCCTCACCAGTTTCCTGTGTTGCCATTCATTTTCCTTAAACAGATTCTTAGTAGAATAAGCCATGGAGCTCTAACTTGGCAGGAAGCTTAGGCAATAGGAACTGTGGATATGGAATCGGTATCCTGAAAGAGCAATTGAACTGTCACAATAAAAGTCTGTCAAAATGAATTTGCATGGTTTGTAATTGAGGCAGGCTCTTTTTGTTGATGGCTTTATTTTCAACAGTTGTTTTTGAAGTTTTGGAATTACTCATATGTATATCTCAGCCGTGGTGAGTTAAGCAATACCGTGATCTCCCTCTCGCAGTGCCTGGAGGCTGGTAAGAGCTGGATAAGGAACAATAGGTTGAAACTGACCAGAGGGAATGGTTCTGGGTTTGGTATACTTTAGTTCATGGAGAATTGCCATCTTTGGTCTTGGAGCGGGTTGTACTGCCCCCAGACAAACCTGGTACATAATCTGGAGCTTTTTCCTGGACTTGCAACTCCTGCTTGAGGAGGTGGCAGTCAAAGAAAGGCTATTGCACAACAGCAGATTGTGCATCAGTTGTGCCCTTTCCTGGTCCAACAATTCCTGCTCACAGTCACCCATGTCCTAGTCACCTTTCATTTTTATTATTGTGATGCCCTTGAAAAATATCCAAAAGCTTTAGTTGATTAAAAATATAATGGCCCATGTGGTTTTGTGCAACTTTAGATTTGCGATTTGTCACCCTTCTGTGGGAGCTACATTAGTTGCCAATTTGTTTTAAGGTCCAATTCAAGGTGCTGATTATCATCTTTAAAGCCCTATATGGCTTGGCCAGGTTACATGAATTACTGTCTCTTCCCAATTATATCTACCTGACCCACCAGATTGGAGAGGCAGGGTATGTTATGGGTTCCCTCCACTAAGATGGTCCATCTAGTGGGACCAAGACAAAGGGCCTTTTCCGTAGTGGCTTCCTCCCTATAGAACATCATCCCCGCAGAGATAAGATTTTTGGCCCTCACCTGGATACTATTTTCAAAGGCCCTGAAGCAGGGGTGTCAAACTGCTAATCTGCGGGCCAGTTTCATCATAACGAAGCCGCACTCACCTCATTACCGGCAAAGCAAAATTTTTATTCTAAAGTCTGTCTCTGACATAGTTAGACATATAAACAAATATAAGTTTACAAACTCAAAATTGTTTATGTTGTGTAATACAGTAATATTCCATAGGCCTTCAAAGAGTTAATGTTGCAGTTTTTCTGCCAATGTGCAGGACAATTTTATTGATTTCCCCGAGTCTATTTAAAGTATAGTAAAATCTAGATCCATCCCACCAACAGATGGCAGCCAATGGGCTTGCAAAACTGTATCTATAATTTTCCCTCAGTGGGAAGAAGAAGGATGGGAAGATGGCTGTGACGATTTCTGGAGAGATATTTTGGTAGAGAGTGAGGAAAGAATTAAACTCTTGGTAACTTATGTCATCTTCTTGCCTTCTTGCCTCTCGAATGCCCATGTACATTCCTGTGAAAAGGTGTCATTAAAAAAAAGAAAGAAATTTGGGAAATTTTCTCTCCTAGTGTATTTGAATGGCTTTGAAGGAAATATTTGGTGCAACTGGATGGTTTGGGCAGGTTCTAAACAGCACATCCTTATTTATAACACAGGATTCAAAAGTGATGATCTCTATGACAAAATTTTCTTTTTTCCATGGAATTTCTTCACTTGCAGGAACAAGTGCTTGTTGGAGAAAAGAGATCCATGCTTTTGCTACTTATGCTAAAGGTGTCCATTTTGTACGCCTGATGAGATATTCTGTTAGTTCTAGAAGAGGAGGATTTTCAGGACAGTACTATGTCCTCAAGCAATCAGAAATTAGGCCTTATTCCATAGATGCTACTGGTGCTGGAATGTTTGTTCCACAACCATCTCTGCTAGCTTCAGTCAATATACCTCAACTGTATAAGGAAAGATTGCTATTAAAACTGGATGATGCCCATTCTCATATATCTGCAAACACAGAACTGACCAGGTAACTGAACTTAATGAGACATAACAAACAAGAAAAAAAGTTGTTGCAGCTCTTAAAGGCTTTGCTTGGAAAATTCCAGACATGCTACTCACAGTCAAGCAATCTTAGTTGGGTATCGAGATTTTTAAAGGGCAGTGCAAATTCTCCTTACAGCTTAAAATTTTCTGCAAAATTATTAGAAATGAGAAGCCCAGAGATCCAAAGAATCAGCACTGAAGAAATAATATAGGCCTCATTGAGTCAGTTATGCCATTCAGTGTTTATTCTGATAATAGTGACTTAAAATTTTCGACCCTAATCAACTCTCCCAGTCCCACAGGAGAAATGGAATTTCCAAGCCAAATTATAAATTCTACTTTGGAACACTTTATTATGAACCTCCTGTGGACAAATAGCAAATTGGCACAGTTGGATTGTCTTACTTTGGTTGCACATTCTCTGATTATCTCCCCTGATAGGGTGGCTATCGAAGAAACAAGGAATGAAATGATTAGTACTCAGAGTTTCGAAACAGAAGGGCTGACAAGTTCCCAAAGAAATGTTCTGTTTCAGGAAACATCGAGTAGAGAAGTTGGTTTGGAGAGTATCTTGTTACCAACCACAGAAGAAAACTGCATAGTTATAAAGATGCATGAGAATGACTTACTTTTTTCTCTTTGGAGACAAAAAGAGGACTGATAGGCCAGCTATGTACAACTGTGCCAGCTTTCAGTGATGCCAAATCTGCTACTGAGTAGGAAATTGGAATTGCACCAATTCTTGATGATGAAGCCGGTATAATGTTGGATAATGTTAGTACTATTGTAAAAAGCTTTGTGGAAGCAGCCAGTCATCTAAAAGTCATTTCATCTCTGATAGTGCCATACAATAATCTGAAAGAAGAGTTGCATTTGAGTCCCAGAAGTCATTACCAAGAACGTTCTAGAATTGACATTTCTCATGATTTAGCTTCCAAGATGATATATGAATCAGACAGGTTTAAATCAAAAGTGAAAAGGAGTTTCTTTTGGAATTTAGTTACCAAACCCAAACCATAATCCTAGCAAAATCACAGCTACTCCTCATTACAGAATTAGACAGTTCCCATTTTATTCCTTTAAGGATGCAAAGCCCTTGTCCTTTCCTAGCTGATGGACGAGAACCCCCACTTTCTCATGACACAGCAGCAGTTCTTCTGCTTGCTATTCCAGGTCTAGAAGATGGCCTCTTGGCATCAATGACATTCACTTATCCAGTTACAACCACAAACCAGAGCAAACCCTTTCTCCAGCTGTTATGTTTCAGGATTGTATCTTTTCTGTGGATGAGCCCAGTCCCTTTCCAATAACTGCACCAGACTTTTCTTTTGCTGTTGGAGAGTTAGGGCTAATTCCCTCAGAAAGGTTCTTTCTATAGAACAGGAACAATAGAACTACAGACTGTTTCTTCAACTGGTGGAGTGTGACAGCCTAACCAGTCCCAAAGACTTGTGGTTCATACTCCATTAGCCACAGAGATAATATCCACTTTCACCTTAATTAATGAAACCTCTACTTCCACAGTTTACATATCAGTACAGTTAGACATAAGATGTCTTCAAAGAGTTCTTGCTGCAACATGTGGGGAGCACTTCCAAACAGGAAGATGTTATCGACTTACAACTTTGTCCTCTAGTGTGACTGTCCCAAAAATGTCCATTGCATATGGTAACCAGGGCATGGACTTGTCCAAGTCTAAATTGTGCATGCTCCTGGGTAGATTTATGCTGAATTCACAATCTCCTCTGAATGAGTTTGTCATTGAAATACCATTGATTCTTGGGTCAATGCTAAGCAACTAGACTAAGCTGTGTGTGAGTCATATTGAACTTGTGTTGACTTCTAGCACAAGTATCCCTATACTTCCTGAGCATACTCAATAATGGACTTCAACTACATTGCCATTTTGATTATTGGTGTACTGTTGTGTTGTGCCTGATATCTAACTGCATTGTAGTTTAAGACACGGGTTTATCACCTTTTTGCCATGGGTTTAAAACATTGCTTTCAAATATCAACTTTGCTTTACCATTATTCCTTCCAAAATGTTGCTGGCAAAGTTGAACAATTAGATAGATTTCAGCTATTTATAACCACTGTTTGCAAAGGAGTAGAATAGCTCCCAAACTGAGAAGAATCCAAAAGTTACAGGCCAATATACAGAGAAAATGGAAACAATAAGAGGTTGTACAGTATCAATCTAGCCCTTTTTCTACCAGTTTGTGTCCTCTTAAAAACTGCCTGGATAACTTGTCCTACCTAAAAGTGGTTGTCAGATCATTATTTTCCAGATAACATGCACCTTTATCACACTGAGTTCAAAAGTTGTGTCTTGTCTTAAATGTTATGGTTTCATCTAACTTTTGTCTTGTTTTTAACAAGGGAACTTCTAGTTAAGTAAAGGAAGGGATGGTGTGTATATGCAATCACTTTAGGTTCCTAGAGGAAAGCCAAAGCATTTAATCTAAATACCAATATGACTAATTTATTTCTCTAATTTTAACATTCTAGCCATGGGGGAAAAATATTTGCAAAATGAAATAAGATAAATTCAGTAACTGTTGTCAAGGTTGCTAGTCCTAGTGAGAAACATTCAAACAAGAATAGCATATCTTCTACTAGTATAAACCAGATTTGATCAATAAAATGATGAAAATGTCATGTCTTTATGTTTCCTACTGCAGAACTGGGAATTCCTTGGCTATCTGTGTATCTTCCTGTAAAAAGTTGCCATATTATTTTGAAAGATAAAACTGGGACTTTTTCTCCTCCGTCATTAAACAGGATTGAAACCAATAACTGGTGCAACTGGACCATATGGGCAGGTCCTCACAAGCATATCCTGATTTACATAGAAGGATTTGAAGGAAAGTCGAACTGTGATGACAGTCAGGATAGGATCTTATTCCAAGGAATTTTGTCAAGTACTGAAAACAAAGTAGTTTATGCCTGCAGAAACCATGGTATGCTGATTTTTGCTACGCAAGCAGTAGCAGTCTACGTAGTATTTTTGTCAGAAGCTTCTTCTCAGAACCAAAGTCACAAGCACTTTAAAGGACGGTATTATATATTTGAAGATTATGTAAATTCTACAAATGGTGAAAAATCAGTTTTGAAATCTAACAGCCATGTTGCATCTAAGTCATATGTATTGCCTACAGGACATAGTTTGAACTCTACGGTGACTACCCAAATGCTTGGCCAAGAGAACTGGCTGCCTGTGACAAATGAAAAGATTATTAAAACAGGGACAGAAACATTTTCAAAACTAGCTGTTGGCAAGCATATGCATGTTTCTCTCTTGAAATCAACAAAAACAGTAAGCTTGAATCCATTTGATCTGAAGAGAAGGCAAGTTACAAAATCATCTATTGATAATAGTAGGATTTTGAACAAAAGTCCCACGCTACTATTAGACTCAAACGATGCGGAGAACGAGGAAGAAACTTTTACACAGAAGCCAGATGTTTATTCAACCTTTCTAGACATGACTCATAATCTTCAAATGATGACAAAATTGGAAGCCACAAAAAATCATGGAGCTATCACTGAATCTGTCACTCCTCAGAATGATGGCCAATCAACCACCCGATGGATGACAACACACATGAAAGGTACCGAAGGGGAAAACAAGAATGCCACTACTTTTCCTCAAGTCTCCTTGGAAGAACAGAGAATTCCAGTCCAGTCTCTTAAAAGCATCCCAACAAAGATGCAGAAGCAAATGCTTCAAATGCTGCTTCCTAATTCTGAGGTCTCCAAGAAAAAGGCAGATCCAACGGAATCTCCACCACACTTGGAACAAACCAAAATATATAAAGGAGAGCAGACGGGCATTCAAGTGTCTACGGCACAGAATGGCAACACTGCTGTGCGAATAACTGTATCTCAAGGAATTAAGGCAAGCCCCTCCAAGTCTACAATGGAAACTAAGTTCCATCAGACCTCGACTTTAGCCTCTACTGATAGGCACCCTACTCCTTCTTTGAGGTCATTTAATGATTACTTAATGAGTATTTCCACAACTGTAAATCCCCAAGCTATGCCTTCAAACTGCCTGATGAGAACTCAGATAAATACAGCTTTTACTACACAATACAAGAATTCAGTAAACAAGAATAGAGAGTATTTGCAAAAGAAGCGGACCAAAACAACTCCTTTGTATTCCTCTTCTAGTTGGTTGCCAACCAGTAGCATTCTCTTGAAAGTAAAAAATAAATCCTATGGTAAGTCCTGTTCTTTAAACTGTTTATCTCCGTGCTGGATCTGATAAATGCCTTGTGCAGCTGAACTCTGTTGGAAGATACAGAAATAATCCCAGAAGAACTTTGAGTTGTTTATTTAAGAAAACATTGCTTAATTACCCTGAAGTCGGAATTCTCTGATCACAATAAATGTGGTACGTGTTTTGGAAAAGTATATTTTAAAAGGTATTATCAAGAAAACTCAGCTGCTTCATATATTCAGTATTCCCTAAGCATTCACCAGCAGTTGTTAATGATTGTCTACATTACAAAAGGGAGACGTTGAAAGAAATATTGGTCTGAACCTTAAGAGGCCTGGATCCTAGACCCTTTAATACAGGTAGTCCTTGACTTATGACCACAATTGAGCCCAAATTTTTTGTTGCTAAGTGAGATGTTTGTTCAGTGAATTTTGCCCCATTTTATGACCTTTCTTGTCACAGTTGTTAAGTGCATCACTGCAGTTATTAAATATGGAACATGGTCGTTTAGTGAATCTGGCTTTTCCATTGACTTTGCTTGTCAGAAGGTGGCAAAAGTTGATCACATGACCCCAGGGCTCTACAACTGTCACAAGTATGAGTCAGTTGCCAAGCATCTGAATTTTGATCATGTGACCATGGGAGTGCTGCAATGGTCATAAGTGGGAAAATGGTCATAAGTCACTTTTTTCATTGCTGTTGCAATTTCAAACAGCCACTAAATGAACTCTTGTAAGTTGAGGACTACCTGTACTGGACAAGTATTTTTCTATCTCCAACCTCCCATTTCTGGACACCACTAAAGCAATGGGTGACTACTGCAAAGAGCTATTAGTAAAGCTGTAGTCAGATTTCAATCCTGGAGATGGATCTGAATCTGCATTAGTCACCTCCATAAACAATCTGCAGTGGGACTTGGATGGGGACAGTGGTCCATTTATCTTAGGTACTGGAGCGATCAACCATTGTCTGGGTTGTGGTTAGCATCCGTCCAGTTCGTCTTTCATCAGCCATGGAGACTTAATTAGAGATTCTGGCTAGTTGCCAAGTCAGCCCAGCTTATTTCATGAGGTAGTTGGTGTGTGGGGAAAATATAAACAGGAACTATTATGTACGCCATTTTGAGTTTCCAGAAAAGAGTTGGGATATAAATGAATAAATTTGCCACATAGTTCTTGCTGAGATTTTGATAGAATTGAAAATATTTCTGAGTGGCAAATTAGTGTATTTAAGATGCTGGGAAAGAACAGCCCTGTCCAGGTGCTAGACTGGTATATTGTCATTTTTCTTCTTCCATAGAGACAAATCCTGGATTCAGATCTCATGAAAATTATTTTGTATTGAACTCTCAGCACAAACCTGGAGGTGAGGAACCTGTGTCTCCTCTCTTGCTCTCTCTCCTCACTATGTTTTCTTAAACTTTGCTTTCTCCTCTGTACAATGGCTCTTAAATGGCTTAGCAATTGACTGTTATCAATAAAAGCTACTTATCCTTTAAGTAAGTTCTTTTGAATAGGAGATTTTGATTTTTGCCAAAATAAATTTGGCAAAAAAATTGAAATTTATAACATTTGTTATCTCAAAGCCTGTGCTGGATGGGGTCAGCTTTTCTGTCAGCTGTGACATTAAATTAGCAGGTAAAAAAGTCTTCCCTATTAAATATCAGAGCACCCATAATCAACATTACTTTAGTCTCCTACTCTTACCATCTCCTATACTATCCGTGCCACATATGGCTAGGACATACCATCCTATTTGTAGAAAAGCTATACTAGGCTGCTTCCTTATAGCCTTTTTTTAAAAAAAAGGTGTACATAATGCATATATTATCTGCCTTTCTGTGTTTTGGCAACTTTGGGTTCTTCTACAGATCTTCTATTTGAAATAATTTTTGAAATAGAATACAAAGGACAACTCCCGCCTGTTGGAAGCACTCTGGAAAAGGCTTTCATTGATTCCATTAAGCATCAGGTAAGAAAATCCATGATGCAGAACTTATTTTAAAACTGGATTGGGGAATGTGTGTGTGTGTGTGTGTGTGTGTGTGTGTGTGTGTATGTGTATATGTACACATATATATACAGTGTGTATGTATATATGTATGTATAACAAATAAAAGAAAAAACGAACACCAGGATGTAATAAACCAGCCTGTTTAATATAAACAAGCCTGTGGTTAAAAAGAGTTACTAAGCTTTCGTCCGGCCAAAAAACTGCTGGCGTCATCAGAGTTAGAATAGCAGGAGATTGGGAAGGCAGCTCATATAGCCTCCTGCCTCTGCGCCCGGCTCCTTGAGCATGTCATCGGTCCCGTTGATTGTGTTAATCCTTATCACACCAAGTTGTTCCACATCAGGCAAACTGTCTTTGACTCCACTGGTGGTTTTACGATCCTAAGTGCTCTTTTTGAGCGTGTGCAAGCACTTGGAGGGCAGCTGTCATTCCGTCCCTGCTCCCCCTCCCTCCCAGGGCCATTATCCTCCCCCACCCCCAAGGCCGTTGTCGTAATTCCTCCACCCCAGTCCTGCAACAAGCAGCTGTTCCGGCATTCCTGCTTTCTGTCTTCCCCCTCCCTCCCCCTCCTTCCAGATCGCCTCAGCGCTTCCGTCCCTGGCTTAAGGCCATTTGGTCCATCATCTCGGTCCATGTGAGCCGTGGTCATCCCATCTATAGAGCCATCGTCCCAATTATGTAAAACGCTGTTATCTTCTTCCTTGGAGATTGTGCCTGTCTCATCCATCATTCTACCACCCCAATCCTGCCAAGATAGAGTTAAATATCTTCTCAGTAGGCCGTGGTGCTGCTGTTCCCATTTCCTAAGCGTCTGGTAGGCCAGCACAAGGTCTATATGCCGGTTGATGGAATTTTCATTAGAGAGCCAGGCTTCCTTAAGTAGGCAGCCACCTTTGGTAGTCTCACGAGCTATAACCTCTGCGTTAGCTAGATCGAAAGTGTGGCCAGAGCTGGACATATGGGCCCACACTTGTGAGCGTTGCTCCTGCCTTCTAATAGCCAGTTCATGCTCATGAACCCTGGTCCTCAGTCTTTTAGAGGTTTCCCCAATGTAATTACTTGCACAGACCTTGCAATTAATTCTGTAAACCACAGATGATCTTTGACCGTTGGGGAGCGGTTCTTTTGGATGCATGACCTTGGACCTAAGGGTGTGCTCGGGCCTGTGGGCAATGCTCACATTGTAGGGGGCCAACAGAGACACCATGAATATAAGGGAGGGTTGTTCGTGTGGCCGGCATTGCTGTCACATTGGAGCGTGAGTCTCTATGATTTCAATGTGGTCTACTATACTGTCTCACAAACCCCATGGGATAGCCATTGTGCATGAGGATGTGATGGAGATGTTTTTTCTCCTCTGCTTTAGCTCTGCCCGTGCTACAATGGGAATTAACCTGTTTAAACAGCGTCCGGATGCAGCTGATTTTATGTGCTACCGGATGGTTGTAATTATAATGTAGCATTCTGTCTGTATGGGTGGGTTTGCAATATACAGATGTGCACAATGTGCCATTAGGACGTCGGCTGATCAGTACATCCAGAAAGGCAAGACTGCCTTGGATCTCTTCTTCTGCGTGAAGCAGATGTCTGGATATACTGAGTTCAGTTCCTCCAAGAATTTGGCGCTATCACATCTTTTGACAATCACAAAAGTATCATCTACATAGCGCGCCCAAAATTTTGGGTGGTACCTAGACATTACTATTGACTCTAGCCACTGAAGAACCGCCTCAGCAATAATGCCTGAGATGGGGGATCCCATTGGCGTCCCTTTTATTTGTTCTTATACCACACCCCAAAAGGTGAAATATGTCTTCAGGCATAGGATTAGCAACTGTATTAGAGAGTATGGAGAGAGTCATTATGTTGTTCAGGACCCTCTTGTAGGAGGTCCCTTATTGCCGTGACCGCCAGATCTTGGGGGATAGAGGTAAAGAGTGAGGTAATGTCAAATGATATCATTACCTCATAATATATACACGCACACATTATATAAACAGTACACACTCAGACACACACACACACACACACACTTCTTGCTTCATTTGAAGGTGAGAGAAAAGCATTTGGTCTTGGCAAATCAAGGGGATGTTAGTAACCAAAATTCAGCTGGTGGGCATGTTCAAGTTTAATATCTAATAAAATAATGGAATACAAAGAGAACATTTAGAATAATTAAGGGCATTTTGTAGGCTTCAGTTTGTATTCTGCCGGCTAGATAAAAAGATGCTAATGGCTCTTAGAAGATGATGCTCAAGGTACACTATGTTTATTATTTAAAACATGTTTAAAGAGAATTAAACTCTTTGGGGTTTTTTCCAGGTACAAGAGAGAGTGAAACTCTTCTCAAACGAAATCAAAGAATTCAAATTAAAGGAAATTATCATGAGAAAAGAAGAAATTGAAATGGACAGGTATGGCAACTGAATATAGGTTGCCCTATGATGTTAGCAAACATTTCCTTCATATATCTCAAAATCAAGTATTATTTTCTGTCAACTCTATTTCTAAGGCATGGAGGGACTCGCAACAATATTCCTTAGGTCTTTTGTTGATTGTTCCCTTCCTATCTGAAATAAAATTGAAATTTGTTCTTTATTTTTCACTTATATAACTTGATGACAAATATGGATAACCCCTTAAAGTAGAACACTTTAAGCGATTTTCATTTTTCAGATCTGATTGAATTATACTTTCAATCTTCCTGGTGGATACTGCCCCAAGATTTAGGGGAGCGGTAGCTAACTTGTTGGTTGAATGAAAAAAGAAAATAAGTTGCTTCCATGTTTATATGTAGACAAAATGGCCCAAACCTCATATTCGCATTCTGGTTGCATTTAACATCAGAAGAAAAGAACATATCTTACTTACTGAATTTTCAACTGGAAGATCTTAGTGGTGCATTTGTGGGAGCTGGCAAGGTCCAAACTGTTTTGGTGAGAGGTAAGTGAGCAATTATTTCATTAATTAGGGAATATCAAATAAAAGCAGCCACTTCCGTCTCTGGAAGCTTAATTGCCTATTAATGGGAAACTGTTTTGGCCCTGTATGATAGATGTGAATGAATGCAACTCTGGAATTGATTTATGTGGCAATGAGGCCATTTGTCTCAACGGAGATGGAACATACTCCTGCCAGTGTAAAGAAGGGTACGAGGACCGTTCTCTGACAAAATTGGGTACTCTATGTGTTCGTCATCCACGATCAGGTGGGTCTTTATGATATTCTATCCCCACCACTTTTGGGGGATTTGGACACAAAAAGGTTCTATCAAATGCTCAGTGATGATTTGCTGTTTATTTGCTAAAGCATAAAGGAATTGCTGTTAGCATGCTGCTTCACAAGAAAACAAAACAAAAGAACTGAAATGCAGTTTGATCTAGTGGTTGAGGAATAAGATAGAACCAGGAAACTGGGTTCTATTCCTGCCTTGGGCACAAAGCCAGCTGGGTGACCTTGGGCCAGCCACTCCCTCTCAGTCCTAGGAAGGAGGCAATGGCAAATCTTGCCCAGAAAACTACAGGCACTGGACCAGGAAGTCATCAGGAGTCCACACAGACTCAAAGGCACAAAAATAACATCACATCACATTACATCATTACAGCATCCTATCATCACATCACATCACATCATATTGCATCATGTAACATCACATGACATAGTTGCCAAAAGTTCTTAGTGAATGTGAGGCCGTTAGCAGGAGCCTAAGGTGATGCAATCTGTGGATCCTTCCTTGTCTTCATGTGGCTGCCCACCCCAAGGAAACACTTAGACCGAAATATGTTTCTGTCTGATAATGCTTCACATGATTCACCCCGTGATTCAGTCCTTTTATGCAAAAGACTTTGCTATCATGGGCTTCACAAGCTAGAGACAAAGCTCCACCACCTGCTTGCCATGGATGCCTCTTTGGATTTGAAATTCCCTTCTCAGCACAAAATTTTGTAGGGGCAGCAGTTGGTTTTCCTGAGAAAAAGCAGAGTTTATTGGAAAGTTAAACAGAAAGCAAGTCAGAAAGAGTTTATCTTGACAATACTGTTACGCAATCTGCATTGGCAATTCAACTTGGCAACTTCCCGTGGCAGCTTCCGAGGCTGGTGGAGTAAGATTAGACCATTGTAGCTCCAATGAAACTCTGGAGAGGCTTTGATGTAGTTACACTTTGGCTCATATCATCTGAGAATATAATGAAGTGATGATACACTTTTTAAAGTACTCCTTCCTTGCCATAGTGTAATAGTTTTGAGATTTCACACACACACATACACACACACAAACACACACACACACATACACACCAATATCATAAATGTGCATGCTAATTCAGCTGTCAGTCTAATCTTCCATTCCTGTTTCAGGTTGTGTGTGTTGGATATCAAGCCTTATTGAGGCCTTTTATAGATTCTCTTCCTGAATGAATAGAATTCATTCAGGAAGAGAATAGAATAATGATCGTTGCAAAATTGCCCCAAATAGTGTGCGGAGAGGATTACTAACAAATGGTGGACAGTCAAGCAGTAGTTTTCTCTGAATATTTTTCAGTGAAAATGTTCCAGCTGTTAACTGCACCACAAAAAGCAGCATGTTTTTTAGAATTTACACTGGAGGAAATAAGTTGGACAGTTATTGTGAATGTAGCAAGGATCCATCCATACTGACATTATCTGGCTTAACCCTAAAACTGCTTTGTCTGACATTACTCAAGGATGCTTGCCTCCTCCTGAAAGCAGTGAGACAGAAACAGAGAAGATTCAGTTGCCTCTAGAATGTCTAACCTGTGCTTTAATCTGTTGGCCAACGTTTTGTATAGGAGAGCCATTTCCATGACTGGGTTGAGCAAAACAAGTCTTCTTTATCTGCAGGTTTGGATTCCTTGTACAGCTACACCGAGTTTATTGTCGGAATCACTGTTTTTTGCATCACTGTGTTTGTCGTGGTGATCAGTGTGCTCTGTACTATAATAAAGAAAAGGCGCATTAAAAAAGATATGCGGGTCCGAGAGGCTGCTTTGCCTGGGATGCCAGCAGAGCCCCAACGAACAACCTTTGATCATAATAACATCCGTCAACTCCTTACTCTGGACCCTGCCCAGCTAAAGGTCAGAGCCAAACAACCAGAACTGCCCCTGCAATTGAGGACTGGCCCCAGTGAAACATACAGAGTATCTATTGAGCAGTCTGAACGTTTGTGAAGAACGAAAAGGGGAAAAAAACGCAAATAAGTTGCAATTAAATCCTTCCTTCCCCCTATTTCATATTAAACTTTTCTTTGTTGTGGTTGAGCAGATGCAATTTTTTTGTTTCTTGATCGATTTTACATAAGTTGTTACACCTTTCTCCCCGTATCTATTTCTTCTTAAGTTTAATGGAAATATAACGTTTGAAATATAATGGAAATATAATGCTTTTTTTCTCTTTAGATTTTTGAATATTGAATAGTCTGCCTGTCTTCATATGACAGATAGATATGAATGTAACTATTGTTTGTGACTGTTAATAAAATTGGCATCTTGTTGTTCATGCAACTCTACAATTTGGTTCGTGTTTTGGAAAGTTGCATAAGGAATGGGAAAGAGTTCTTTATGGATTAACTAGAAGCAAATCAGGCTATTATGGCTTATAGAAAAAATATGGTTGATTGTCACATGCCATCCTGTTTTTTACCAGAAATATGTGATAGAGGCATAAGGTATAATGTGGTTATCACAATTTTGCTATGGCCATGGTATTGGATTTCATGGAGAGAGTTGTACATTTTCTAACCATGCTTAACAATTTCATGTGCTGGCTTTAGAGAATATTACAAAATAAATCAGAAGATACCATTCTTGCTAACCTCCCTGAAGCAATTTAGTTGTTCCTTAATAGTTAAATTGTTGCCTTGATCAGCCCAAATGTCTATATAGAAATAGACATTGTGTAGATAGCTGTATCTGTTGACTGGCCACTGTTCCACAGTGCTGAGTGCAGGCAAGTCATGTACAACTCATTTAGACAGCTGCTTTGTGAACTCTTACTTTGCTCTGTCTTGATACACAACCTCTAGTTTCCCTCAGTAATGATGCTGGCAAGTGGAGCTTGCCTGAGCAGATTGAAAGAGTGATTGGTTAATGCCTTTCGTCTCCCAGCAGCATCTCTCCACCTCCTGAACTCACAGATTAATGTCCTAAGCACTACAGTGAGCCTTTTTTTTTTGAGTGATGAGAAGCTGGAAGTCAAAAATCTGGCATTATTCCTCCACCAGAAGTCATTATAATTATGTTGACAGTTTAATAATCATGTTGAAAACAAAATAAATGCCCTCTGCCCGTCTTTCAAGTTGTCCTAATGGCAGTACATCAGCCCAGAAGTGCTGTCATTTCGACTCGCTCTGAACTCACCTCCTGTGTTATTTCAGGAGAGGAGCAGACACGTGCTCCAAACTGAAAAGCAGGTTGACCAGTCAGAGGTGCAGTAGGAGGGAGACATCAGCCAAGTGCTGTCGTCTTTCACTGCCTCCTCAGAGATCCTTTTTTTGCCTGATGGTTTTGTAGATTGATGACTACCATTACTCCCATTGCTTTTAAAGGCAACAGTAACAGAGAGAAGTTTGTTGGTAATCATACTGTTACTGCTCCTCTATTCCTGTTTCTAAAAAGATCTTTAAAAGGGGAAGGAAGAAATCCCCAATGCTTTCTCACAAGGGCAGAGTTAGCAAGAAACCCATGCATCATCTGACTTGAGCTTTGGAAAACATCAGACATGCATTTATGCGGGCAGATGTCTATAGAATCCAAATGTCATGTCAGCCCATCAGCATGAACCACATTGGTCATGGAGAGCCCAACAATTAGGGGGCGGGGAGAAGAGAAAGCATGCACTACCCTGCAGCTGACAGCACCCAATTGAAGCTAGGCAGATCACAGCCCCTGGCAACAGCAGCAGCATTACTAAAATGCACCAAAAATCATGCCTGCAGCCAGAAGACAAATGGAAAACATTGTTCTAACACTGGATGAATTAAATATGAGATTAGGCCATAGACAGGGGATGAGGACACGTCCTTAAAGCATAAGTAGTGAGGCACGTTCAAAATGCCATTAGGGAATATATGTGGATCAGTCCATGGAACTGGGAGGTATTTCAGAGTTAATCTACTCTTCAATTAAACCTAATTAGTGGCTGCTAGAGGTTCCTGTACACCTGGCTGGTTCAAATCAATCACCTTTGCTTTCATACACTTACTAGTAGAAATTTTTATTTCTTTGAACTGATTTGCTGTCTTCAACAAAATTTTGAACAGCATAGTCTGTGAATAAAAGAATAAATACTTTTTTGTTTCCTGGCTGAGTTCTTTATCTTTTTGCTGGGATCAGGAGAACTAGATGTGTATACTTTAAAAATACTAAGTATTCTTGCTCAGTTGAATCCCAGAGGCACAGAGTGCTTAATACTTAGATGGCATCAGTTTAATAATGCTGCTAAGGCCTAGTGAATAAGGAGAGTGCATCATCTAAAATGATATAAAATTCTTAATATGGCTAGTACATTGAAAACAGCAAGTATTTCACTTTCTGAAGGGTCATTTAAGTTGTCAGTTTCCCAAAAGAAACTGCTTATAGCCTTGCTCTTATTTTCTGTTTGTTCCCGTTTAAGCTTGGCTTATATTATCTTCATCTGCATCATTTGGCCTCAGTTTATTGAACTCGGTTTTTGTCAGAGTAAGCAAATCCAAGTCCAAGATCCCAAGAAAAGAATCTAATCGTTAGGGCAAACGTTGTCCACAAGAGGGCAGTGTCTTCTGCAGAATGAAGCTTTCTGCTTTATTACAACTTGTACTAATGTTGTATAAAACATGCATTTCAAGTAATTGTGTTAAGCATCCTCAGGTATATTATTCTGCATTGTTAAAGTGAATATTTTTATACTCTGGAACAAGCTAAGACATCAAAGGAAGTGACAGCACGGGCCTAATCTCTGCTTAGAGTGTTTGCTTGCCTAAAAAATACATCTTCCTTAAGGGGAGTGTATTCTGTGAGTTAAAATTTGATTCTGATTTTATTTACAATGTTTATGTAGCTATTTATTCCCTTTCAATATCTATTTTTTCTCAGAACTAAAACAATATGTGCAAATAATACAGGTGATTCTAAAAACCCTTAAGAACTTGAACACTTTGGCTTCACACCTTATTATACTTTGCCACAATTGAGTAGCATTGTCTGATAAAGAGATGTTCTGTAAAAATATTATGTGAAGAATGTTTTGGGCATTGTAGAAAGAGCAATTTAAATGGAGAATAGAGAATCTATTCTCCAAATTCTGAGGAAAGAGACAGAACACTGGAATTTATCCAATTATTCTATTCTTTTAAATATTCCATATATAAATACAGGTACTGTATAAATGATACATGTAGGATTTTGAAATTAAAAATAAACTAACTTTCATAATCTTTATGCAAAAACAGATATTCTTAAAAATATATCAGTTAAGATTCCACTTCAGTAAAGACAGCAATTTAAAAAATCTTTCCATTAAGCTAGGTCAGTTGTAAGGGAAAATCAACATTTCCCACCATTTCTGACCATTAGCAACCCTAGCTGAAGAAATATAATAAAAGTTAAATGGGTGAAAAAAAAAGGAAAAGAAAACCTTTTCTTTTTCTGTTAGGTAATGGCAGGCATATAAATTGTAGACACTATATTGGAGACAAGTGGAAAAAAGGCTTAAGGATTTCTATTTTTACTCCAGGCTGGAATCAAAATATTTATTACATGTTTAAGGGAGTGTTGCAAGTTTGCCCATATTCCTACTTGGATATATTTAGATTCATCCTACTTTGATGAATAAATGATTCACTTGCAGAAAGTGCTCTGAAGATACTTCCATGTCACCAATATTGCCACCCTTCGCAATTACACTAGTTTTAAAAAAAATGGCATTTAATCTGCTCTTTTCCTTGGACTTTATTGATTACTTTAAAAAATTACTGTAGTTGCTGTAATAGGGGGAGGTTGACAAGCCACCACAACTGTATTCCCCTCACTCAATGCAAAAGCCATGCTCAAGACTGGCAAAATTCTGGTGGTCAAGGCTAAGGAGTCAGAAAGCAGGCATGCTCACACAACTGGGAAAATCCCACAGAGTTCCCACACTGAAGACTGGGGCTTAGTTTTCACAATTTCTGCTCTACCACAATCCAGCTAGAAGTAATGGTTCAGGTGCCTGACAGTGACAGTCGGGTGGGGTCACAAGGACCGACTGACTGAGGACAGACATTCATTTTTCATGTGGAAATGTTTTCGGAGCAGAACTGGAGCCTATCCAGATAAACACTGTCCATCACAGATACAGGAAGCCATCACATGAGAGCTATCATAAGAATCAGGCAAAGGAGTTCACCCTGTAACTGATAAGTTGCTCCATTATTATTTCTGGTCAAGTTTTCTTTAAACTAGCATACAATGTTCCAGTTCAAACTTCTTGCTCAGATAAACATTATATTTGTCACCACCACCCAGAATAATTCTTCTCATAGGCATCAAGAGGTCTCATGTTTGTGCCTTCTAGTGTCTAGGAAATTATTGTGCAACAATTACAGGCTTCCTTTTTGCATACCAGCATGAGGGAAAACTCTTTATGTGCTTCATTGACCTGTAAGAGTTGATAATGTCCATAATCTAGAGAAAGCGAATTAATGCAGAGGAGGTAACATGGCACACGCTACAGATGGGCAGGATTACAACCTCCTATTAGCTATGAACTGACAGGCACCACTTTAAGCCAGTTAGCTGCCAGGACTCAGTTCAAGGTACTTGTAATGGGATAGGGAGCTTTAAACAGCTTAATATCTGGATATCTTCCTTCCTGGGTATTAAGCTCCAAATGGGTGGGTTCCTCATTTTTCAGGGATATATGCTGTCAAGAAAAGACATTCTCCAGACAAATATCCCTGTTGTGATATTATTTCAGATTTTCAGAAATTAAACATTTGTTTCATTGTAAATTAAATAAACCATGGCCCTTCAAGATATTTACTTATTACTTGTATATCCTACCTGAGTCTCACCACACTTCCCTCACACCCTCATGCACCTGCTTGCATCCATCTCATCCCGACCTGCACTGCACCCCCACACACACACCTTCCCCATCTCTCACCCTACCTTCCTTGCACCCTCATACACACATATTTGCACCTCTGCGCGCCCCTGTGCAACCTCCCTGAACTGCACAATTCCTCTTGTGCCCTTCCATGCACCCTCTCTCCCTGACTCATACGGTATTTCTCATGCACCATCCCTTACCTGTGCCATGCCTCCCCCCCCCCAAATCCCCATACACCCCTTCCCTCCCCTCCCCTGGCAGAGGCCTATTTGTGGGAACCTTGAAAACAAAGGTCACAGCTGACTGTGGCAGAGTGATGGTACAGCCATATGGCAGCACTGAAGCATATGAGGTCCTTGCTTAATGCTGTAACCGGGGTTTGCTGGCACCACCGTGCTAAGTGGCATGGTCATGTGACATCACACTTTATGACATTACTCA